TATGTTCTGTATAGTTTTTTTAGAGATAATAATTCAACACGTGTATTTGTTTTAGGAAATGAATAACAAACTTAATATCAGTTTTGAATATTGATAAGGTGTATCCTTATAATACCGGATTTTATTTTTAATCTTAAAATTATCCCAAATATCTTCTCCGATTTTTTTTTTCTTCAATTTATCGTTAAAAAATATGTTTAAAAGGCGTGTGAAATGGGATTATTTTATTACCATAAAAAAATACGTGATAAGGATGCTCGTGTGAAATGAGAATATTTCGTTACCATAAAACATTTATGCGATAAGGACGCTCGTGTGAAATGAGAATATTTCGTTACCATAAAACATTTATGCGATAAGGACGCTATTAATGAGGCGTATGAATTGGGGTTATTTCATGAGAATTAAATCGGTATAATTAATGAGTTTAAAAGGCGTGTGAAAAGGACATAAATGTTGAGCGTGTGAAAAGGACATAAATGCTGAGCGTGTGAAATGGACATAAGAGTTACCAATTTTAGAAAGTAATAAATGTAAAACTGACTTTGACCATTAATTAAGTTACTAATTTTGATAAATGTTAATTCTTATTATATAAGTATAGATAAAAACTTTTACAAGCTGGTAACGAACAAGGGGGCCTAGGCCTTCAGTCCAGTAATTTACAGATTTAGGAATATATATACGTATTCTTGCCATTCTTCCTGCTGCTTTCTTCATCCCGAGCTGCGCGTTGCCCTAATCTGTCGAGCCGAGCACCCGTCTCCTCCGTAAGCCGTTCTTGTTTTTAGGAGCTTTGTTCAATTTCTTGCATTAAATCCTTCAATTAACTGTCAGCCCTCCTTAAATTTCAGTTTTTTCGTCACAAATCAGTGTTAAAGAGAAAGGTCTAGCTCCGACAAGCTTCTCCCGGCGGCTTGGGTGCTTTGTTTGTAAGTACATTCGATTTTGCTTGTTTTGGTACAACAATTTGAATCCTAATTGGTGTTTTAAACAATTTCAAGTTCACGTGAAATCACATTTTTTGGTAACCCTAATCTCCTCTTTTCATGATTACTAGTGTGTACCCCGTGCGATGCACGGGAACAATATTAAATTAACAATATTATAAATAGATTTCGAGTTTGAGTCACTCACGGAAGTGGAAACTACTATTGATCCTATTTAAAAAGAGAAAGAAAAAAAAATAATTATAAAGTAAAGAGGAGGATAAACAATACTTAATAATTATAAATTAAAGATTCGGGGTCAAACAATATAAAACTATTTTGTATAAGAAAATATGAAATTTACATTATTTTGTATAAGAGAATATAAAATTTGCATGTTTAATATTAAAAACACCTAAAATATTATATTAGTATATATGTAAAAGTATTCAAAATTTTCTATATTATTTTTTAAAGATGTGAAGTCATCTACAACTTTTCTATACAATTTTAGAAGGAAAACATATCTAAGAACATTTGAATTTAACATTGCGTAAAAAAGATTTTTCTAGACTATTTTGTAAAGAAAATATGTCTATATTTAAATTTAATATGTGTATATGTATATATATATATATATATATATATATATGCGTATGTTCTGTATAGTTTTTTAGAGATAATAATTCAACACGTGTATTTGTTTTAGGAAATGAATAACAAACTTAATATCAGTTTTGAATAATGATAAGGTGTATGAAATATCTTCTCCTTATAATAAGATTTTGTTTTTGAATCTTAAAATTATCTCTTCTCTTTATAATACGATTTTTTTTCTTCAATTTATCGTTAAAAAAATATGTTTAAAAGGGTTACCTTAAAAAAAATATGTGATAAGGATGCTGGTGTGAAATGGGATTATTTCGTTACCATAATTTTTTATGCGATAAGGACGGTAGTAATGAGGCGTGCGCTAATGTGAAAAGGACATAAATGCTGAGCGTGTGAAATGGACATAAGAGTTACCGATTTTGGAAAGTAATAAATGCAAAACTGACTTTGACCATTAATTAAGTTACTAATTTTGATAAACGTTAATTCTTATTATATAAGTATAGATTTGGTATAATTTTGGAAAAGCCGTTTCCCACTGGATGCTTTTGCATCTGATATAAACACGAATTTGAGTGTTTTCCACACTCTTACATATTAATCTTATTTTCCAATTTGATACGTTCACAAGAAAACGTGCACCAGTTATGTCAAATTTGTGTGTAATTCCGAATGTTGGTCAGAACTTTGTTGTTTTGAAGCTGCATAAGCTTCCTCCTATTCGCCCGTTATTGACGAGCACCTTCTTGTTCTTTTTTTTTGGTTGTTTTTTTTTTTTTNACTTGCTCTACAGAACGCCAAAATATCCTCCGCCCCTAATTCACGTCAAGGTAACGAATCTCCTTGTTTTGTCTTCCATTTATTTAATTTTTTTTGTTGTTGTCGAATGTATTATGTTGGATGAGTTACATTTTCTTTGCATTGTATATAATATTGTTGTGGTGTTTTATTCATATGCTTGCCCGTAAGATGCATATTTAAGAGTTGATAAATCTTGATTTAAATATATGTTATTATAATTTGTTATATATTTGTTTTTATATGGCCTGTTTGGTTCAAAGTATTAACTGAAGCTTTTTGTGCATTTTATGCTGTGATTGTGCTGTAGTTCATGCTGAAATAACAGCCGTAGTTGAAGAGATAAGCATGCTTAGAAATATTGAATTTTGGATCATGATAAATGCATGTTTGTGCCTTGTATGTTGGGGTGCTATTCGCTTTATTTTGCTGAATCATGGAGGCTATTTGCATGAGCTGAAAATGTGTTATTTCATGCCAAGTTTGCTGATTTATCCTCCATTGCTAAGAGAGGGTTTATGCCTTAGTTTAAATTTTGAAAGAAGAGCCTGTATATTTGACTTCTTGGCCTTGCTATTAGGGCTGCACAATCGGTTAAAACCGTACCGAACCTAACCGAATTTTCGGTTCGACCAATATTAAAACCGAAAACCGAACCGAAAACTACAGTTCGGTTCGGTTCGGTTTCAAACCGAAAATTTACCGATTGTTTCGGTTCGATTATCGGTTATCCAACAAAATGGAGAAATGACGAAAAAAAATTTACAAATAACAATAGATACAGATTGTCTCCAATAAATCAGTATTCACTAAATGCACAACTCTTAGAAATCATCAGAAATTCAGAATCCCATTCAATTCAAGAGCAAGCCCATAAAAAAATTCAAGTTTTTTATTAGTATTACAGTAGGTCACAGAAGCAGATTGGTTCAACATGTCAGTATGTCACAACAATTTGGAAACCCACAAGCCACAACCGTACAGCTCAAATCATAGGCATAAAAATTAACCCAAAAAAATATGAGCTCAAATTGGGTGGGTGCAACCCGTACAATGAATCACGACTCACAGGCCCAAAGAAGAATGAGAGATTCAAAGCCAGAAAAGAAAATTACGAATATGAGTTGCAGCCCTTACGAGGGGATTTGGGTGGCGAACTCAATTGAGAAGACGAGCGTCACGACGGCCTGCGGGGTGGAGTGTGTGCGGGAGCAAGAAAGACCGAGCGAGGCGATGTGGGATTTCAAAATTCCGGCGATATTGTGCGCCGACGTCGAGCAAAGGGAGATGGAGCGGGTGATTTTGTGCACCGTGCGGCGGACGGGCGGAGGAGTGCAGTGCTAGGTAGGGTTTGGAGGATGAGACGATGAGTGACCGTGAGAGACGATTTGTTCCTGGAGGATAGGGGTGTTCACGGTCCGGATTGGTCCGGTTTTAGCCCAAACCGTGACCAAACCGGACCTAACGGTTAATTTTTTTTCTTGTCCATAACCGGACCGGTATTATTTTTTAACCGACCACAATTCGGACCGCATTGGACGGTCCGGTTTGACGGTTAACTGGTTAAATCCAATAGTCAATGATCAATGGAGAATCTGGAAATTCAATACACAATCTTTTTTTTTTATCAAACGATTGTAATTGCATTAACAAACTAATATGTAAGGAATTCATGGGTCGGCAGGGGATAAATAAGAATTAAAAAATATATATATATAAAAACAAAATAAAAAAATAATAACTGTTATTGAGTATAAAAATGGAAATCAATATTCAAGTTTTACTTAATAATAAAATATTAAATTAGTGTAACAACTATTTTAAAGAGGTGGGAACGGTTAAGAAATCAGTTAAATATTTTTTTGCCATGTGTAAAAAGGCGTAGTAGTGTAAACCAAAAGTCTAGTTTTGGCTACTGGTTGATTAATGTAAATAGTTTTTTATATTAAATAAGGAATGTCCTTATTTCCAAGTTCTTGGAGCCCAATATTAAGTTGGCCTAATTGTACCATCTCCATATATATATATGTGTGTATATATATTTTTTTATAATTTTTTTTATAACTTTTTAATATATACCGGTCCGGTCCGGTTAAACCGGCGGTTTGCCGCAGTTAATCTGTTAACCGGACCGGTGATTCCGGATTTTTAAAAAAATTAACCACCGGATTTTTTAATGCTTTTTTAACTGACCATTTAACCGATCCGCGGTCCGGATTGACGGTTTTTTTCGGTTAAAACCGGACCGTGAACACCCCTACTGGAGGATATCATCTGCTTCTGTCGATGGAATTGGACTATTGGAGTGATAAATTGGGCCTGCTTAGTGCTTTGTGGTGGGCGGCCCGTTAACTAATGGCAATTGGATTGAATAATATATACTGGGCCTTTTTTAACTTATATAATATCGGTTTTCTGTTCGGTACGATTAACCGACGAATTGTAACCAAACCGAACCGAAAACCGAAAAATTAAAAAACTTAAAACCAATAACCGAACTGCCTTATCGAAAAATCGGTTACCGATAAGGCGGTTCGATTTCGGTTTGAATATTAGTGAAACCGAAACCTATCAGTTCGGTTTTGGTTTTATGTTATCGGTTCGGTTACCGAACCGATACCAGCCCTAATATTAAAATCTTCCATCCTCCACAATCTTGTGCCACGCTCTTTTAGAATTTTCACAGTAATTCCCGAAAACAAATACTTAAAAAGTCCTCTACCGTAGGGATCCGGTGCACCGCCCAAAAGCGTCACGGACGAAGACCTAATTGTCTCGCAGTTACGCGAACCAACTCAATCAGCCACGATTGAAAATGGTTGCAGATTTGTGCGCTCAGCGTTCTCTCTTCGGCGGCGCCATCGTCTCCACGTTTCCCATTCGATTTGAGGTTTGCGTCTTTTTGTTCTCTTTAATGCTATGTATTTTTTTTGCTTTCGCGCGCGTGTCTGTGTGTTAACTATGATGAATGCAGTTGAAATTAATGTTAGCCCTGCTTTATTATGTGTAGGACGTCAGTAACGTTCGTCAAGTTCCTGATCATCAGGTCAGTCATTCCTTGCAACTTTTTATTTAATTCTTTTCTCGATTCTGCTTGATGATTTTTATATTTTTAGGTGTTATTTGGTTTAGGGCTTTGTCTTTTACAGTTGTTGGGGGTAAATCAAAGCATTGTGTTTCTGTAGGAGGCGTTTGTAGATCCAACACGCGATGAAAGCTTGATGTTTGAGTTGCTCGACTTGAAGACTGACGTGGCGGATCATGGTAGTGCTACCTGGTTTCTTCAGGACCTCGCGAATGAGCAAGATGCTGAGGGAGCTATGGTATAGGCTGATCGTTGATCTTTTTATCCGCCTTATTTACGGCTGTTGTGTGTTCTGCTTTGAACAGTGTACCTGCCTGCCTTTAGTGGTACACTGAAATTAACTTAATCTTAGAAGTGGTTACTTGTCAGTTTTTGAATTCATCAAGTATTGGCGGTGGGTATAATCAAGTGAATTGTTCGGAATTTATTCGGTGCTTTTAGTTCGCTACTGAATGCTCAATACCAAGTCCACGTCTGTCCATTAAAGCCTAGTTACCTTGGATGTGTTATGAAGCTCTATTGCTATCAAGAGGGTAGCATTTTTGAAAAGCGGATGGGAGGGAAAATATTTTATGCGTGCACTATTTGTTTTGATGAGAGCATTCTTACGTTTACTAGAGGATGTGATTGCATATCGAGTGTCTATTCCTTTCAGATTTTTTATCCTTGCTTGTGCACTGTTAGGAAAAGGTTGCAATTGTCATGTGTTTTAGTTTTTTTGCTTCCACCAGTCAAGACGGATTTGGTCTATTTGTGGTGATTTGATAACTAACGGAAACTTATTCATGACAAGCATTCTCTATTTTATTGAATTTATATGCATATTTCTGTCACGGAAAATTTATAAAGCTGGTTTTATTTGCATAAAGATTTTGTTTTGTTTTGTTTTTGTTTTTGTTTTTGTTTTGTTTTGTTTTTTTTTTTGTCCTGAAGTACCGCGTTATTTATATTTGATGACATATTTCTTATTCTTGTGCAATATTATTTGCTTAACGAAGTGTGCCATTTGCTATTAGATGACATAGTGGTAATCTTTCTTTGAAACAGCTCCGTAATGTTGGAAGGATGAATAGTTCATTTGATGGTTTCATTAGTTTTTACTCTGTTTAACAAGATTATGAAAAGAAGAACTGAAGCAGATTTTTTGTTATAGAAAAAAGGAAAAGGACGACAGGAGACTCGTAGTCTATTGCTGCCACTTTTTTGTTCTTAGGTTGTTGTCAACTGTAGGAGATTCGTACAACATAGGATTTGACCTTTTTGAGTTTTATGGATAATAGTGATGTTAAGTTTTTTTTTCTTCTTTGAATATTACAGGTGCTTGAACAGTCTGAAGTTTTTCAGGCTGATGGACTACGGCTTAGGAACAATCCTGGCATCATAACAACTGCAGTTGGACAAATGGTGTATAGAATCTTCTCTTCTGCACTTTTATTTAGAATACATTAATCTGCTTTCATTACTGTGAAGTTGACATACTTGACACCGTTTCTTCTTTTATTAGCTTAAGAAACAATTTTTTTGAGTACCAAACAAACATCAATGCAGAGAGAAAAAAAGGAGAATAAATTATGTTACTACACACATATTCTGTCTCCTTGTTTGCACACATGTTTTGATGAACAGTCCTACTGGGACTTCTTGTTATTTTCTCACTTTATCTGAGTTAATGGGCTCAGCATAATACTGCCTTTGCTTCTTTAGCTAATGTAGATCCGTACAATGGTTCTTGTGAAATGCTTGATTCACTTATAGAAAGGTGAAACTGATGTCAATTGGACTATTTAATCTTTTGCTAAAATGTCAAAAGACTAATGGTTTAGTGGATATTTTTTTCTTCTAACGCATTATTTAAATTAAAACATGGTGGACTTACAAAGAAGCAATGGGTGGATTGCTCGAAATTTAAAATCATGATTTTCTTTCAAATGTGCATTGTAACATCTTGAACATTATTTTGTTTGTCACTTTTCGTCATGATCAGCATTCTTATTCTAGGCCCTGAAAAATTAAACTAAAATATCTGCCACTGGGAATTGATGAGTCAAAACTGCAACTTGGTTTTGTAACAATTCTTGATATCAACATGTTTGATAACNAACATGTTCGATAACAAAATAATTTTTCATCTCTATACTTAATAATGGGCTTTGCATATCTATATAGGCGATATCTAAGGGAAGACAAGGAAGGAATGCACAGAACTTAGTAAAGGTACACTTTAACTTTTCTTCATAAAGTAATTAGTTGATCTTCTTCTCTTGGATCTCACCCGGGTGTTTTTCCAGGTCTATTTAGCTAATTTGAGGCTAAAGGATGTTACCACAGATGTCCTCATCATTGCTTATGAGCCTATGATGATAAAGTACGTTGCAAATTATAGCTCTTGCCATTATAAATACTATGGGCACTAGAATCTTGTATTTAACATCTGTTTTTATCATATCCTCGGATGTTGATTTATTATACCAATTGCCCATATTTGAAGGCAAACAGTATGCATTTTCTCATGAACTTGCATTTTTCCTTGTTATAGCCCTTTGAGTGAATCTGCTGCTACAGTTGGGGCTGGTTTAGCTGTACCTGCAGCACAGACTGGACGTATGCCTATGACTGAGGTTTTTCAAAATGCGGTCCAAAGTTTCAAGGTGAATGATTGGGGCCTCTTTGGTGCTGCTGTTTGATATCTGGATGGCGGCCATTTTAGTAGTAATAAATCATGTTAGTGTTATTAGGTTGGTTCAGCTTCTCATCAAAGCCTGGGTGATTCTTTCTAAGCCTTTTGATGCAAAAATTAGTCCACGTTTGTTATTTTTTTTTTATTCGTTCTTAGGTGGGTCAAGAATCTATGTATATTTTGCTATAGCGACTTGAATTATTTGTCCTTGTTATTCAGTTTTATGGAACTAGTGAAGTGGACGGGCACATTATGGATAACCAATATTATTTTGTGGTTTTAAATTATGGTTTTCATGTGGTTTATTAATGTTTTGGATTTTTATTTTTAATTAATCCAATAAAGTAAATACATTACATTATGAATAGTGTAAAATAAATTGAAAATTAAAATGTAATTTTTAAATAATAGTAAATCCTTGAAAGTTATGATAATGAGTACGTCAAAATATCAACTCTGACTAATAATAATAGTGCAAATTATGCATGAAAATATAAAAGCTGGACAAAAACTATGCAATAATTAAGTGTGAGAATTGACAAAATGCTCACCCCATCAATTAGAAAGAGATTTTTTAACCTGAAATAATTCGGTTGAGATGGAGCAATAATTAAATGTGAGAATGGGCAAAATGCTCACTAAAGTGTGTATTCTTAATAGTGGGAGTTCTTTTAATTAGTTGTGTTGTATTGTGTTGTGGTATTTAGGCTATCTTGGGTAAGTCTCCTGATTTCGTTCAGTTAGTCGATTGTAATTATGTGATTTTATACTCACTTTTCCCCTCTTTCGACAAAAAAAAGAAAAAACCTAATTGCCACCAGGGCGAAACCAAGAAATTAGTTGAGAGGGGGCAAAAGATATGACGTAATGTGTAAAAAATAACAAAAATGCATAAGAACAACTGTTCGTGGCGATATGACATTGCCTGAAATCGTTGCATAATGGTTTCATTACTAATTTTATCAAAAACATATTTTTCAACGTACAGAACCATACAAGCGTTAAGCCAATCATCTTGCATTCGGTTGCGTAGTCAATTTTTATGATCTTCATAGAAAATGCTCTCTCCACAGTAGCAGTAACAACTGACAATGTCAACGCTAAAGTAATAAGCATACAGATCAAAGGATATGTCACGTGCCTTCTAGTTTCCATATCCGTCCGTTTTAAAAAAAAATAAAATTAAGATTTAAACATTTAATTGTCTATTAATTATTAACTATTTAACTTAATTTATTATTTTATTTAACAAGTTTGACCTACCAAGTGACTTTTGAAAACAAAAAAATTGGGGCTGGTGGTGCAAAAATAAATTTTAGAGGGGGGCAAGTTAAATTTTTAATCTTTATAGCAAAAAAAAAAAAAAAAAAAATTGAAGGGGGGCAATTGCCCCCCATTAATGTATGTAGAATCGCCCATGATCGTCGCGATTCCTTGCCTTCCCACAGCAGGGCCTTCAGGCCAGCACGACGGCGGCCTTCACCGAGCCGTACGACCGGCTTTCACAGACACGTCGCGCGACGGCCTATTCTTCGGGTGAGGCGGCGGAGCTCGGCCTTGGGTTTCACCTCTTTTCCAGCGCCGAGGTGGGTCTCACTCCGCCGGCTCTTCGGAGTCTAGGCGGTGGCAGGCTTCCGACGAGGATGAGAGAGTTGGTTGTGGCTCCAATCATCACCTGAGTGGCGGTCGGGGCTGAGATCTGAGCGGTTCCACTCTTTTCCTTTCTCCCGCTCTTCTCTTCCATTGGTGTCGTTTGGGTAATTTTGGCGGAATTGGTTTGGGTCTGGTCATGTGGCCTGGGTCGGGTTGTCGGGAGTTGGGAGGTGGAGTTTGTTGTGATCCTCTGGTTGCGGGTCGTTGGGTGGTCTACCTAGGCGAAGGGCAGGGTTCTTTTGTCTCAGATATGGTTACGCGATGTTTCTGACTCGTCCGTTTTTTGCCGTTCGACCTCTTTTCGAGCCGACCCTTATGTTTTAGCCTCATAACCATTTTTCTGAGTCTTGTTCCATTAAATTGGTAGTTCCAACTTCCACAAAATTTCCAGAAGCTCCTTAATCCATAATTTTGGTTAAGTGATAATTTCTGTTAAATTTTTGAGTTATCAAGATCTATTTATAAAATTATCTTGATTAAATGTAGGTTCCTGAGTAGTCGAGCCCTCAAACCTACCGAGTCGTTGTTGTATCTTTGCTGTTGTAACGCCCCGCTTTATTTTGAAAGATTTATCGAATTTATTTAATAAAAATCATAATAAATTTTTCGCAAATCTCAAATTAAATTAAAACTCAGTGGGCACTACTTAACTACCAAGAAACTATTAACCGAAAATACAAACCACCATATAAAAATCGGAACACGCATGATAAATAGTCATAAAATCTTACTAGCATTTAATAAATTCTAAACCATGAAATCAAACATTATCCAAGTTTCCAAACGACATAATTAATATCCCAAAACATGCAGGAAAGGAAAATCCAAGTAACATGAGTTCATAAAAGCGGAAGCCAAAGTAATCATAAGTAAACTGAACAGACCACCACTCGTCTTGCCTCGTCACCCGCCAGCCGCTTAACCTGCATCCGTGAAGAGCAGGTGGGAGTGAGTACAGTTGAAAAATATTGTACTCACACTATGCATATGAAACAACCTAGAATATGTTAAGATTGTATGGTCACAGCATGAACATAAACAATAAACATCATGTCTCATCTCTAATCACATCAATGACTCTAGTCTCATCAAATACTCACTCATGTGCACATTTACGCTCATCAAAGCTCAGCCATGCCATATCAATGAAACATGAGAGTGCGTGCTACATCAATGACACAACTTCTACATGTTTTTCCTAGCTATATAGCTATATATATGTAAACTAAAACGTAGCCTGTGCGATACACGATAAGTCATATAAATTAAATAGATCAAAAAAGAATATAAATATATTATTTAGTAATAATCTTATTGTTATAAAAATTGAAATATATACATACTCGATCAATTATAAAATATTTTGTTATAAGTTGAAACGGTGCCGTTTCGTGCATCTTTCTTTGTCCTCTTTCAAGGGTATGTATATGTGTTACCTTCTGTACTTACATTTCCTGATTTGACTGAAATATAAATTGAGCTGTAAGCTCACCAAAAATTTGCTTTTCGATCTCGATATGAAATGCTTGTGATTCAACATGAAGGCCGACACCAACAGCAACGGCCTGACTGAGATGATTAGAGAGGCTGACGTGGACGGCGATTACATCTGCCGCCTTTGAGTGGCCTTGATTTTGGGTTCCCTTTTGTTGTAGGTATGAATATGATTATCCTAGTTTGATAATTTTCTTTTGATTCCGTGTTGAGATTTGGATTATATGGTTCGATTATGAAATCTTGATGCTAATTTCCTCTGTTAGTGGAAGTGTCTATTGGAAGAATGTTTGACTTGAGGAGTGAAGGAATTAAATTGTTGAATGATGAGAAGTAACCTTATGCTTCCTATAGCAGATCATCTAAGAAAGAATCTTTTATAAATTCTTTCCAACTGACTGGTAAAACCGAAACCGAGAGTTCTATGAACATCAAGATTCTGATGGGACGAGGCTTCCATAGTTTACGATCTGCACATTCACTTCAACCTTATCAAAAGTTCTATCTGGTCATTTGGTATTAATGGTAGCTCATAATAGGAAGAGTTTTTCTACTTATATGCCAACAATTTTCATTTATCCATTTATTTTTCTTTCAAAATGAACTTTTATTGGTGGTCTCTGGATTTTTGGACCAAAAAATTTGCAGCATGGCTTCTTTGTGAGTGGAGTTTTTACACATTAGCTGGAGGTAAACCCTAAAAGAAATATAAAACAAACAAATAAATAAAATACAAAATACTGAAAATAATAAAAAGACTAAAACAGGATGCAAACAATGGAATTCGGGCGTAGGACCACATAGTCTATCCCACTTAGTGGGATTCTATCCGTTTTGTGTTTAGAGTTCTATCGAAAAGCACTTCTCGAACGATCCTCAACAACTAAAACTTGTCTCCTACACGTTACAAATTGCTACTTTATCTTTTTTTATTTTTTTTTTTTTTTTTTTTTTTTTT